GTAGTTTCACCTAAGTTGTTTGTTGTCGTTGATGAAATCACTTTGAGTCTCGCATTGTTAAATTTTTGTCTTTGTAGAACTACAGGTGATTGTATGTGTGTAGCACTCATATTGCAAATTTATACTTGTGGTGATGTGTACGCTCCACTCCAACGCAGGAATATTTGAGTATACTATATTGTTCGTCTATTTACACATATCTTTTACATCTATCGAATTTATCCATGGTCAATAACTTCCTTATTTTAATTATATTTGGCTTTCATTGCACATTTCATAATTAGCTCTACTGCATAAGCTTAATTACAATCGAATAGAATTAGTAATACAACTGGAGAATGATGAGAACATCGACTCCCATCTATATTTTCTTTATTCGAGTTGATATGTGAAAATCTTGACACTTCACGGATGAGCCGATTTTTGGTAACAGTCTAAAGTGTCCCTGGAAAAATGTCCTTTCAAAAATATCCGCGATATTTTGTCTTTCGAAAAAATGTCCTCCGGAAAAATGTTCCTCGTTAAAATATTCTTCAAAAAAATGTCTTTCATTCTTAAAATGTTCATTTTTATACTAAGGAAACATTTTGCAAGGACATTTTATCGAAGGACATTTCGACGAAGGACATTTTTTCCAAGGACGAAATATCGGGAACATTTTAGAGGGTGTGGATGTGGGTGTTGGTGTGGGTGTGGGTGTGGGTGTGGGTGTGAGTGAATAACAGATCTATACCCACACCCAAACCCACACCCAAACCCACACCCACACTCAAACCCACACCCACACCCATACCACCACACCCCACACCCACCCACACCCACCCACACCACCACACCCCACACCACCACACCCCACACCCACCCACACCCACACCCCACGCCACCACCACACCCACCCACACCCACACCCGCTTCGTGATTATTTAATTAATTGATTAATTGGAAATAGTTAATTAAGTCTTTATGATGAATATTGACCTTATTTTGTTTATTTGTTTGAATCGATATTGAATTTTTGTACTCGATGATTTTGGTTATCAACGACATAGAGATTGCCGTCTCGATCGAATGACAAATCGATGGGCCAATGGAGTTGATTCGATTGTCCTCCTCTACCGTTTCCACCAACAATGATACTTCCCTGTGTGGCTCCTTTGGGCCAACGCATGATTCGATTATTCCCTAGATCAGCCACATAGACAGTGCCCAATTGGTCGACAACGACTCCTCGAGGATCTGACAATTGTGTAAGACCATTTCCTTTTCCTTGACCACCAACCACAACAATGCCTTGTTTTGCACCTCCCATCCATTTCATCACACGATCGTTTCCCCATTCAGACACATATACTGAATGATCTCGATCGACGAATACGTATCGTGGGATAGAGAGTTGATCAAGACGATTTCCATTTCCATTGCCACCTGCAACCACTATTCCTTGAGATTCTCCTCTTCGATATCGTCTCACTTCATGTTTTTCAAAGTCAGAGACATAGAGAAATCCATTCTCATCCATTGTCAAACCCAAACAATAGATGTTGGAGATGATTGTTTCTCCACTTGTTCCATTTCGACGAGGCCATCGAACCACTCTTCTATTCTCACGATCGGAGATGATGAGACTATCTCTCTCTTTGTCGACAATCACATCTTGTGGGTTAGATAATTGATGATCCCCACTTCCTGGTCCATTTCCACCGGCAACCACGTGGCAACTCATTGCACCCCATTTCCATTCCACAATACGGTGATTCGATTGATCAGCAACATAGATTGTTTGATCATCATCAACATACAAACCCAATGGGTTTGAGAGTTGATTGATTCCATTGCCTTGTCGATTTCCTCCAGCTACAGTGATACCATTCTGTTGCCATCGAGCATTTGGATGAATGTCAATTGAACTTCCGTTTAATGGAGGGACTGAAATAGAGAGAAAGGAGAAGACAAAATACGAGCGAGAGAGTATAGAGAGAAAAAAGTGAAAAGTTCATTTGAACTTTTGCAATATCAACATCGTTCCAAGTTTCGTTTCGTTTCCAATATTCTCTTTTGATAGTGGAGGTGGCGCTATCAAAAAATTATTTATTTCGTTTTCTTTTCTTTTCTTTTTGGTTTTCTTTATTACTTAATTTATCATAAAATAACTATTGATAGATGTTTTTCTTTTTTTTGTCTGATACTAGATAGATAATATCAATTTACTGATACATGGTTGAAAAAACAAAACGTTTTGTTTTTTCTCAACTATCTTTGATCTTGTATTTGAATTAGTGGCCTTTAGAAAAGATTTTTCGTAGGGTTGAAATATCTTCAGAGACTATATGAATCTATTGAAATGTAAGTCATCTTAATTTATGAAGCATATTAATATACAAATAAATAAAGTTCTTTTTTTGCTTGGAAAGAAAAATAGATCACTGTAGTCAATCTGTTACAAATAATGATTTTTTTTTTAGTCTTATGAAAGATCTAATTATGAGTGCGCATATATATATAAAAAACATTGGAATCTCATATTCTTTTATTGATTAACAGGTAGAACGAGAGAGAGTCATGAATAATAGAAATAAACTAATTAAAAAGAATTAATGAAAAGAAAAAAAATCTTCATTATATTCATATTGAATTTAATAGAATCATCTTTTCTTTATGTGTATAATTAGATATTAGCAACTTCATTAGAGAACATTTCATTATTTACTATACTGCTTTGTTTTTTTTAAAGTTCAAATGAACTCGGAATTTTCCCAATAGATTGAGAAAAAAAAAGAATAAAAGAATTCATATTTCTACATGTATTTTACAAAAAAAAAGAAGAAGAATATCAGAAGTTGAAACTATTTCACATTATTTTGCTTTTCAATTTTTTTCCTCTCTATATGTTCGTTCAATGTATCTTGAAGAAAAAATTCTAGGCAAAAAAAAAATTTCTTCAGACTACAGAACTGAAATTTCTCTATTGCTTTTTATTTTCTTTTAGTTCTTCATATTTATCTGAAAAATTACATGTTCATATAGAAGTCATTCTTTTAACGCATTATGTTGTTTTTCTAGAGTCGATTGTTATAATACGGTTATTTTTTACATGTAGGTTTTTTTTTACATGTTTTTAGATGTAGAAAAAGCAAAAATAATACGGCTTGTCCGGCTAACGGTCAACCAGAATGATTAAAGTAGAACCTGATAATATCATAGTATACGGTACACTTTACTGTATATGATTGTTTGAAAATTTTCGTTCGTTTGCGTAGATTTGAAGGGAACGATAGAAAAGAAGCGAGAGTACAAATCAAAACTAACTGTTAACACATATTTTGAGAGTACGAAATAAAGACTTTCTTTTGACATAATTTTCATTTGATCCATGGTTATTGGAAGAACGTCATAGTAGTAGTTACCTTAAAACTTGATAAATTCTCACGTGAGTGCATTACTAAAAAGAGTTCTTAATTTATTTTACGCTGCAGTGACACATTATTTTTTCAAAGCGCTCAAGATTCTTCGTTAACTTTCCATAGACTGTCCCATGGTGGACTTATTTTTCGGTTATTCTTTTCTATTAAGAAAAAAAATGGTACATAACGTACTGACACAGCCGTCATTTTAGCATATAATACTTTTTTGACCTTATAATTAATATTACTCTGTTATTAGCTATTATACCTCTTTTTCATTAGATTCGATAACGATTGAATGACTTTTTCAGTCACACAAAAGTAAAAACCTTAAGGGTAACATTATTTATAATTGTATTTATGCGAGGAAGAACCTCCAAAATTCAGTGAGGAATGTGATGGATAATAGAAGATAGGATATGAAATTTAGAGTAACTACTGGATCAAGTATCGCCACTTTTGGACAGACGCTCTTTTACGTCAGTATTCCATGTTTCTCATTTTAAACATGATCAGTAACTTTTAGGATGTCAACAAATATGTTACGCGCTAATAGTAAAACTATCAAAAGTGCCTAAATATTAATGGATTATATTTGAATAGTTAGGCTGAAGACAGTGACGCGCGCTTTGAAAAGGAAGAAAGAAACGTTTGTTCCAGAGATATAAGGATTAACTAGATATTTAAGGATGAGAATTCACAAGCAAATGAGTGCATTCCATCAATATTCCGACTATGTTATGGAAACAACATTATTTTGAAAAAGAATTGCTGGCATAAATAGACCCTACTTATCGATGTAAAATTGTTCTTAACACTATAAATCTTTTTGGTTTTCGGGTTCATCGAAACTTTAGCAATCTGATACTATCAGAGAAGAAGCTCCTTTGTATCGATACAGTACTAATATGTGATTTCCCTTCTTGGACACCTAGTATAAAAGCAATGGATACGAAATCTATTCAAATTAAGTCTCATCCCAGGGTTAATAGATAGTCTAAATTCTCCAGGTTTCTGTTAATTTCTGTGAGAAATTCGGTTTAAAGTTAAAAGTAAAAAGTTCATTGTTATCCTTGAACAAATAAAAGAATGACATGTGAAGTGGCGCTTTATACTTGACAAATGTATCATAACGTTCTGACAAACTACGTGGAAGATGTTCGTTTTTTTTAACTGCTTCTTCTCTTGAACTCTGAGAGACACTGTGATCTGTCTTTACATTTCAACATGAAGATATGTAAAACTTCGAAAATGAAAGAATAATAAGCTTTCTATACTCTAACAAGTAGAAAAGAAAGTACGAAGTCCTCGAGAATATATGATCAAAACACGAAAAATGAGTGCATTACCGCAATATTTATAATATAATTGCTCAGCAACACTACAAGTTTCGAAACTATTTTTTCGCATTGAGAGGCCTAACTATCCTCTATAAATTACAGTTTAGCCGATGTATTTAAAATTCAAGAATTCACAGAAATTTTGAAAGGTCCCATATCACCCAAACGATGGAGGGACTTTTTTGTGAGTGCGTTACCGGCATGTACTTTTAGTATAAAAAGTGAACCAAAAAATCAATTTGCATGAAACTCACAGATCTTGAAGTGTTTGTATACATGTACTACAAATTTGAAGACTCTACGCTTTGTTGTTACTAAGAAAATTTGATCGAAAATTGGCAAAACGTGAGTGCATTACTTGCGGACAAGTCGAATATCATGACAAAGAGTTCAAGACAAAAAAGTAACACAGTGTTATCCTGAATATTTTTACTTATAAGTTATTATCCTTTTTAGAAATGTACGATATTAGTTAAGATAAATCTACGCTTAGCTCTCATTTCGGCCTTAGCAAGGTTCGTTTTCTGGAGCTGCAATTTTCGACGATAATTAATCCTGATGAAAAACATGTTGTTTTTTTATTGATAATAAAAAATTTCAGTTTCATAAATTGAACTAGACTAAAGTTTGAACTTATTGATAGATGATTTATACCTTACACTGAGAAATTCTTAAGACTATGTCCTTATAAAAACTATAGAACTTGGAGTTGTTTCAAATTCAAAAGTCAACATTAGTGAACAACTTTTCGACACAAAAAAGTAGAATTTTAATAATTATTGTCATTTATTTTCTATTTTGTCATTGTTTTATTGGACTTGCGCTTTAAAACTAGGCCAACAAGAAAAGAGCTTATCTTTTCAAGATTTAATTCTACTTTTCTCAGTCCCAAAAATTAAAATATAAAAATATATGATCCTACAAAAATTTACTGATACTTGAAGCTTCAAAAATAATTAAAAAAAAATATGTATTTTTTATATCTTGAATCGTTTGAGAGAAGTTTCTATTTTTTTTGTATTTGTTTGACTCAAAAATATCTTGTTTTGAGTAAAACGTCTTATTCAAACATAATACTGTTACTTTTTTTTTCACACTTTTTATTAATTATCTTCGAAGCTGTGACAGTTAGAGAGTTTGCTTCAAAACACCATTCGACATATCTCATCATCATGTTTTATTCATGATATAAAAATGACATTTCTACGTACGTAAAACTCTCGAGTTTCTATAAAAAGGTTTGTGTATTACGTACTACTACTATTACATAACAAGACTTGGAATTTGAAGTACTCTTACTTAAGTTTTAACTTCTTGCGAAAGTTAATCTCACAATGAAATGCATACCGAGAACAAATTTTTGTAGAGCATCGAACATACTTTTCAAAAGTACAAAAAAAGTTGTTTCATCTTGATATTGTTGTTATTCGTAGAAGAAAACTGATAAAGCAAACGTCGTAACACTGTTACACCTTTTTGTTTTTCATGAGATTATAAACATCTTCTTTTTTTATTGGATCTAGATTCATCTGAATAGGCTTTTTTTTTCTAACTTCTACACAAACGTTTCTACTACTCTTACCACTAAAGATCGCCTCAACACCTAGAGACACTTCTTAGGTCGTCACTATGGCGCTCAAATATTTTTTGTTTTCAGCATAAAATGTATTTCTTCTGTAAGTTAAAAACACATTCACACTCGGAATAGTTTCAACTGCTGGATTACTGTTGAGTTTGGACTCTGTTGCATAATATAGACTCCATTGACACAAGTAAAAACCTGAAAATGCTAAATGTCCTAAATGATTTGTGTTCAAACTTGTAGAAATCTTACTGCAGTTTTAGCTTTTGACATCATGATATAATATTTCGGGTTGAAATTATGTCCACAAACAATTTTATTTAGGAGTAAAATATCATGAAAATTTCAGCTTAAATACAATGTTTTTCTTCCGAAGATATTAAATTCCACAAAAATCACTCTTATCCCATGAAAGATGCTAGAATTTTCAGTTTTTGCAAACTTTATTATCTCAGCAAGGAAACATTGTGTTTGAGCTGAAACTTTCAAAACATTTTACTCAAAAATAGACGATCTGTTTGCTGACATAGTCTTAACTTGAAATACTGTCATTCGATTTTTTGGTATATACACTATACCATAAGCTAAAATTTCTACAAGTCTACACAGAAGACATTTAGAGCATTTATCATTTTCAAGTTCTTCATATCTTAATGGAATCTATATTATGCAACAGAGTCTGAACTCAAGATCCATTGAGCAATTGAAAAAACTTGTTAATGCAGCTCCATTGAGGCTGAAATATGGAACTCACATATTCTATATAAGCTGGGATGCTTAACCACATTTAACACTGGTTGCTACAGTCTGTAATGAGGAGGGAGGGCCACCAAAACTTGAACTTAAAACTTACATTCACTATTTTCTTCAAAAATAGATGTGAATTCCACAAAGCGTTTCCTCAATATGTATGTACGAGTTACTATGATACTAAGTTAATCATGCCCAGAAACATCGACAAATAAATCAAAAATTATGGATTTTTATAATGATTTTTGTCACTAGATAAGTAAATCAAAATGGTCAAAATCATATTTGAATTCAATACTATTCCTATCTGTCTCTTGTAATATTCCAATTACAAGTTCAGTTATATAAATTGAAAATAATACTGAAAATTAAGTTTTCATAACTGAGTGTTGTTTCTTTTAGTTCAAGATGCAAAATTTTTTAGAAAAAAAAACAAAATCAAATGTGTTCTACAATGTGACATGCAAGGTTCATTTCGAATTTCTGAAATCGGAATAATTAACCCTTTCAATCCCGCATATCATCTACGAGATGACATGCATATCGGAATATAGAAATTTTGCGTGCTATCATCTTTCTACATGATACATATCATGTGTATGTTCAAAGAAGCGCGTGTATTCTTCGCTGCGAAAATATTTTTTTTCGCACTGAACTAGTGTAGCTAGAATTCGTGTGCAGCTGATTATCTGAAAGAGAACACAAAGGAGAGAGAAATCTAGATTTTCTTCAATTTTGTATAGAACGAGAGAAAATGTCGGGATTGAAAGGGTTAATCCTTGAAATAGCATGTTACGTCGACAAATCGAAAAAAAACATAAGTTTAGAAATTAATTTTTTATTATTCAAAATTTAGAAGAGGAAAACAAACGTAAGAAACGACTTATTTACAATATTCTTAGATATAGTTTTTGAAACATGGTGATGGTGTAGATATTTATGTCGAACTCTGATGAAAACCAATCTGTGACGGAGTTAGAATTGAAAACCGTCACCTTGCAGGTGTCTACACCGATGGATGAAATCATCTAACTTCATGTAGAGTGTTTTGACGTCTTCTTCTCAACTGGTGCGTTTGTATATGTATTTTTTTATTATGATGGTGTATTTCTCATATTCTTTATTTAGAAGTTACTGTCAACTTGAAATTTTTATCAAGAATCTTTTTTAAATTTTGAACATAATTAGTTCAATGGAACTCGTTAATTTATTTAGAAAAATCACAAATTTTCTAGATTTACAGTCATTTTTTGTACGAAAATTTCTCGACAAAAACATGATAGTAGGGCCTTAAACTTCTTTTATATATATATATTACAATCGGACTACTTTGTAAAAAAAAAAAAAAAAGTATTCTGATTGCATATATTCAGAAAGAGAAGACTTTGGCGCATCTTCCTATGACAAGAACTCAGTTTTTCATTTTTTTTTAAATCGAGTTTTCCAGAAGGGGGAGGAGCTTAATTGAAAAATAGGACAAAACGAAATCAAAAACGAGTCCGAACTTTATGACATGTAACTATAGAATTCAAATT